CCAAAAATGCCATGCACGGAATAAACGACTATAGCGACACCGTATTTTTCATTCTTTTCTTTCCTTTCACTATCTATCAATCAATACTAACGTCTAACGACTACACGACGGCCCATCACTAATTATTGTTATTAATATTGTCATGCCTGACGTTACTATTTTGATTCGGCCGATTATTGTCCTTGTTAACAACAGATGATGTAGTTGATTGCTGTTGTTCTTCTTGCGACCTATTCCGTCGTTGTCGAGCCTCAAAGGCTTGCAAAGATTGTTTTTTTGTCAAATGCTTACCGATGTAAACAATTTTGACAAGAGCATCAGACGAGTTTTTAATGGTAGGTGCCTTTGCTACCCTAGTCGTCAATTCTTATATAAGAATTGGACGGGAATCTGGTAAGGATCTTCCCAGCTTCTTGTCTGCTTTTGCTAAGAATCTTATCCGATTCTTATCAGATTCTTATATAAGAAGTGGCACGAAAGTTGCACGAATTTCGTAAGAATCAGATAAGAATCGAGTAAGAATCTTATAAGAATTTCATAAGAAAGTGATAAGAGTTCTTATTAGTTTCTTGTTCAATTCTTATGAAATTCTTATAGCAAAAATTTTTTCTGATGGCTTACGATGGTTTCCTTAGCAATTTTGTTGAGTTTTAAGCAATAATGAACAAAAAAAGATTTTAGAAAAAAAATGGTCCGGTCAGGTTTCGAACCTGGTGAGTTGTTCATGACAATCCATGGGTTCCTCTATTGAGATACTGCGGACACATTTGTATATAAACATCGCGTCTTTATATTCTGTTCAACATCTTTTTCAATTTGCGCTTGTGTTATAAGTGGTGCATATGGAAATGGTGTGTACCACGATGGAATATAATTTAGTGCGTCGAAATTTTAAGTTTATCATAGTAGATTCTAGACATGAAATTACGTTGTTAAAATTCTTTGGCTTAAGGAAAATCTATGAAGAGAAAGTTATTTCTATGAAATCTTACTGAAACGAAATGAATAGAGAATAATTCTTGCAAAAAAACTTGTAACAATCTGATAAAGGATTCTTATCACTTTCTTATGAAATTCTTATAAGACAATTCTTATAATACAAATAAATGATCGATATGAAAGTTGTTCAGTTTTCCACAAGCTTTCAGAATATCAGGTCATTTCCTAATAAGCATAGCTGCATCGAGTAAAAGAACTAAAAATACTGTCCGTCACGGAATTTCGCCTTTTCCCGATGTTATAATGGCGAAGATTTAAGGATCTGACATTTCTAATTGCCATGATAAAAATCCATCTTTTTTCTAATCAACGAGTAGTACCAGGACAGTTTTATCATACCAGCTAGGCATGCAACATACCGTATCTTACCGATTTAACGTTCGGTATGAATGCATAAGAGAATTTATTAGAAAGTGAGATTATGTAGAGAGTGGGACACTCTCTACATAATCTCACTTTCTAATAAATTCTCTTATGCATTCATACCGAACGTTAAATCGGTAAGATACGGTAAAACGGTAACGGTTACCACCGTTACCGTACCGTTGCATGCCTAGCAATTTAGGTTGATTGTTACAACGAAATCATATTAGAAGTGATGTCCATCTTTCAGACAAAAATGCAACTTAGCAGGGTGTAAAATTATACTGTTTTGGTGAAATTAGTCAAAAAATCTCTTTTTTAGTTACATAATGGGAAAAAAGTGGGTTTATTTCAATCGTCAACAGAGTATCTCAGAGCTTGCAATATGTTTAATAACCTGTCGATAGTGTACTTTCGATTGTGGAGACAGGTGTTCTTAACGAAAGAGATACCAATACCCCTAAGCCCCATGAAAAATCTTTATGATTTGTCTTGCCGATCTCACCCACAACATTTACGGGTCAGAGGCAAGTCATTTGGTTCGACAAATACAAACATCTTGTTCTTCTATTTTATTATTTTGCATCAAAATTAAAAACAAACAATATCATAAATACTAATAAATAAAATAATAAAAGTGAGAGTCTAACATTCGTTTTTGACTGGCAAAAGCACTCATGCATTCTGTAACTCAATCAAACAAATAACATTCAAAACTTCTATTCTATTTAGCCTTCGTGAGTGACATGATCAGGCCTGTTATACCAATCGATGACTTTCATACAAATGCAGACGATCAGCATCTTGAAACTTTCGGTCTTATCTGGCTTGATGTTAATCCAAATGTTAAGGAGTTGCAAGATACACAGCAAAAGTTACGTTCTATCATTAATCAGCTGAAGAGGTTTCAATATGTAGAACAATGCCAAAACTATATTAAAGAACGAACACAAAAAGATCGATTAGTAATGATTGTTAGTGGTCGCTTGGGAAGAGAAATCGTTCCTTCTATTCATAAACTTCGACAAGTTATTTCCATCTATGTGTACTGCATGGATAAGAAAAGTAACGAACAATGGGCTTCCAAATTTGCAAAAGTAAAATTACACTGAATGATTTTGATTTCATTTTATGACTTTTGTTTTATAGGTAAAAGCTGTTGTTGTTGAACCTGATGAGCTTGTATCTCGAATTAAAGCTGATCATAAAATTCATAAAAAGGTTGAAGAACCCTTGTCAATTAATTTTTTTAATAAAAGTGCCAGTGCTGGTAAATCAACAATTGGTGTAAATGGTCAGTTCGTTTTTTCTCAAGTTCTCATTGATTGTCTTCTACGCTTAAAATCCAATCAACAAGATAAAATAGAACTCGTTAATCATTGTAAACAGCAATATGAAGGTAACAATCCTGAACTGGAGAATATTCGTGAATTTGAAAAGGATTATTTATCTGGCAAAGCTTTATCGTGGTACACAAAAGAATCATTCCTTTACAAGACTCTTAATTCTGCTCTACGCGCCCAAGATATTCATTTAATCTTTTTATTTCGTACAATTATCTCCGATATTTACCGTCAATTGCAAAGTTATCAAGCTAAACAGTCTCTACGAGTTTATCGAAGCCAGATGATATCAAGCGATGAACTGCAACATTTGACACAGTGCTGTGATCAATTTATTTCAGTAAACTCATTTTTTTCCACCAGTACTGATAAAAATCAAGTACTTGCATTTCTCGAGATTCCTGAAGGTGTAGAGAATTTAGAACCAGTATTATTTGAAATTGATGCCGATCCTAAGATGGTTACGACAAAACCATTTGCAGATATCAGTACAGATAGCGAATTTAGTGATGAATCTGAAGTCCTCTTTATGATTGGTTCTATTTTTCGTTTGAAGAGCGTCAATCGTAATAGTAATAGTAAAGTATGGACTATCCAAATTAGTTTATGTAGTGAGCATCAGCATGACTTAGAAGAAGTTCTTATGCATATCAAGCAACAAACTGGAAGCGGAGAAACAAATCTTCACACATTAGGAAAAATATTATGGGAGATGGGAAAGTTTGATTTAGCTGAACAATATTTTACTCGCCTATTAAAAGAACTACAACCTGATGATCCCTTACTTGGTAATCTAAACGAAGATCTTGCCAAACTCGCATCACAGACCGGCGACTATGATAAAAGTGTTAATTGGCGTAAAAAAGCTATCGAATTCAGAAAGGAACATCCTTTAACTCCTATTCCTACCAATGTAAAAAAAAAGTGAAAAAAAATACTTTTAAGTACTTTTCATATTAATAAAGTAAAATAAATTAAAATTTCCCACTATTTTTCACTCTTTATAGTACTTTTCCTACTTTCTGAAGTACTTTATGAGGCAGTGCACGAGAAGAACGAACTAATTTGCTCAATAAACTTACACAAAATTTTTTTTCTCAAACTCTCAGAGTAAGAAGTGGCACGAAAGTTGCACG